GATAGAAATAAATTTGAATGTGTCATGGTTCTACGACTGATATTCGGAGATAGCGGGCTTTGTTTGTTTCCGTGGGAGGGAGGTGAGAGATTATCCAGAGCAATTCAAAACCGCAGATGTCTATCAGAAGTCATTCAGAGCAATTCAAAACCGCGGATGTCTATCAGAAGTCATCCAGAGCGATTCAAGATCGCGAATATCCTCTCTGATCAAGGAAGGAGGTGAGAGGCTATCTTAGACAGTTCAGTATTGCGGTTGCTGTGTCTGATTCGTGCGAGACTTTATCGTTTTTCTCTTTTTTTCTCAATCTTTATTTCTAGTTCGTGGAATCTCAGTAATCAATTAGTTCCTTAAAAGCACTTACTACTTGGTTGAGCGGCGGCGGTGTCAGGTTGGCTGCAGGCACTCGGGAGTGGAGGGTTGGAAACCAGTGTGGCTTCGGTGTCCTGGTTTGGCACTCACTGCACCGAACTTCACCTTTGAAATTTTTTACACCACAACACTCCCGACTCTTAAGATCAGCGACTCCTATTTGATTCCGGTTCTGAGAGTCCTGGTTTATATACAATTTTGAGTAAGCGAGGACTCTCCCAATTGGAAAACTTAGTCGAGCTCCGCCAGTTCCTATTTGTTAGTTAGTGGTCGGGTAAACTTCGTGAGATCGCCAATCGGCGATGATCTCTCGGCTCGGTCGGCTTGTCTGATTTTCCGGAGAAGGGAAAAGGGAGAGTGTTGGTTTTTTTTTATCACGCCACATAGACCCTTTGCTATTTGTTTATAATAAAATTGCTTGTGGCACCGGAGTTTCTATTTGCGTCGACTGCTCTAAATTTTATAAGCGGTGTTTTTCTTGACCCGGAGATATCCGGGTTTGTTTGGAAAGCTGTTTAGAGTGTTTAACAATAAATTTTTCTTGCTCGTTATAGCAAAATTCCGGGTTCTTACTAGGCGCGGTTTATATTTTCGGCCCGATATGATTTCCGTTTGCTCTCCTATTGTTTGGAGTCTAAGTTTCCAAACGATAAGAGACCCGTTCGAGTTATTTATTGCTTTTTATTATTTACAAAAAAAAGGGTTTGTTATGCGTTGGCGCGTCGCGTTGCAAATAAAAAGGGACCGTGGAGTCCCCAAGACGTAACGATGGCATACTGATGAAACGGAGAGACAATGCAAATGTAGTAGTGTTGCCTACAACTATGCATTTTGATGCTAGTAAATGAGGTTATGACCAAGGACATTTAGGCGTGAAAAAAATAGTGGAGTTTCTCAACAAAAATTACTATATATCATATCTCACTAAGAAGCTGGAAATTTTGTCCGTTGTTGCGTACCTTGTGTGTTGGCGGAAAAAAAGAAAGGCAAACGTGAGGGAGACTCCAATACCCAAAGAGGATCAACCCTTACATACCTAACCACGTTGACCATTTGGGCCTAATGAACGCCACGGAAAAAATGTACCGATATCTGCTAGCAGTAGTAGAAGAAATTTCAAAGTTTATTTGGATTTATCTTACAAAAATGACGAATGCCAAAGAGGTTTCGAGCAAATTAACAGAACAACAGAAGATTTTTGGAAATCTCACTTTGAATCATCACTGATGGACAATCTGCTTTTACTTCTGTTGATTTTAAGGAATACTGCACAGAAGAACAAATAGAACACATTCTCGTTACCACCGTAGTACCTCGTGGAAATAGACAGGTGGAAAAGATTCACAAAATAATTATTCCCATACTAACAAAGTTGAGCACTGACAATTCAATCAAGTGGTATCGTTTCGTAGACAAAGTATAAAGATGCATCAACGCTACGTATCAACGGAGCATAGGAATGACACCATTTGAAGTGCTATTTGGAGTTAAAATGCGACAAAAAGAAGATGTTGATGTTCTCAGTATTATACTCGTACAGTAAGAGTCTGTTGAACTCTTTGACGAAGATTGACAAAATTTAAGAATTATGGCAAAAGAAAATATTCAAAAGATCCAGGAAGAAAATCGGCAAACAACGGCTAAGATCACAAAACCTGCTAATGTGTACAAAGAAGGAGATATCGTAGCTATCTAAAGAACCCAGTTTGGAACTGGTTTGAAAATTAGTAAAAAGTTCTACGGACCATATAGAGTCACAAAGGTCAAGAGAAATAATCGTTACGACGATGTTAGAGTTGGAGACGGAGATGGTCCGGTACGAATTTCAACTGCAGCTGATTTCATGAAGCTCTATCCAATATGCTCTCCAGGGACTGAAGAGCGGTCAGGTTGGCCGAATGCGGGAAGTTCAGATGCGGCTGCTGGCTCGTAGCCGCTTGGTGGCGACACACACACGCACCGGTAGATGGCGAAGAGAGCAGAACGAAGGGAAAGCAAAGATCAAGATGGCGAAGCAAAGATAAGCAAAAGGGGACTAGTGTGTTTATTCTATCCTTTCAATTATCTTTACTATTATAATTAAAGTTTTATCCTATCAAGCCGATTTGTCGTTCTCTTGGCACACCTTTTTCCTATATATATATACACACACACACACAATTATATGTATATATATACATAATAATAATAATAATAATAATAATAATACATCATAATTATTGAATAAATCAAGCCAATCAGCGCCGACTTTTAGCCGGGCACACATCAGTGAGCCGCGCGGAACGCTCACGCACACCAAGTGCGCGGGTCACTGACGTGCGGCTAAAGGTCGGCGCTAATTGGCTTGATTTATTCAATAATTATTTTTTCTTTATATGTAATGGAAAAAAATAGTTTAGGAATTTTTGACTCACAATTTTACTTCTTTTATCGGCCTACAAGAAATTTTACACTAATTGTCGGACACCCTGTATATACGCATATTTGTGCACAACATTCAGCGAACGGCTCTTATGACCGTTTATATATGTATTCCTAGTTTAGAAATTTTAGAGCCTAAAGATTCTCTATTAATTGTTGAAACTTTATTTAGTGTTTTAGAAAACTCTTGAATTAAGCTATAAAAATTTGTAATAAAAAATAGAGTATTCTATTTAAAAAATTCAAGATGACTTTGTCTTGATTGTGGCGATATCATTCAAGGTCAAACTGATAAGATCAGTAAATAGGTCGTTTAAAATCTTACAATTTTTATATAAAACACTTTGCGGACTTGGTTAGGAGGAGTGATTGCGTGCGTACGTGGGTTTGACGCGGTGCGTGTAGATATAAGTTTAGAAAGTAGTTTAGAGCAGAAAGTAAGGTAAAAAGGCGAGAGTTTGACTAATAGGTAGAAGAGCGAGCTCATGAAATAAAGGTAGGCTAGATGGCGAGGTAGGAAGGGAAATAAAACAAGGAGAAAAAGACGCTGAAAAGGTGAGGTTATGGCGGGAAGAGGCACAGAGACAAGCAGAGTGAGTAGGTTAGGGAAGAGTAGGAAGGAGGAGAACCAAAAGACTCTGGAATTCAAAGGAAATATGGAAAAGAAAAGAGTGATTTTTGAAGGTGAAGCGGTGGAAAAAGATATGGGTAAAAGTGCAAAGGAAGTGGAGAGTTTAGAAAAGATAAAAGCGGAATTAGTGGATCGGCTAACAAAAGAAATAAATGAGTGGAAAAAAAAAAGAAATAGACAGACGGAAATAATAGAGAAATGGAAAAAGGAAAGAAAAAGACAGAATGAAATAATGGAGGAGTGGAAAAGAAAGGAAATGAATTGGGAAATAAGAATGAGAGTGGTAGAAGAAAAGTTTAGTGAGATAAAGAAGGAAATTAGAGATACAAAAGAAAAGGTGGAAGAAGGTGAAAGTTACAGATCAGCGAGAAAAGAAGAAATAGATTGGAGAAGTAAAGAAGGAGGAAATAGCTACGCGGGATCTGTCACATCAGGGGTAAGCGGTGGTAGGTTAAGTGTGAGAGAGGTGGGAAAACTAAGGAGTTGAATCTCTTACAAGGAAAAAGAAGAGAGAAGGAATAATATAGTAATAAATGGAATAAAAGACGCAAAAGAGCTGAGACAGATAAAAGAAGATCCAAAAAGATGGGCAAGATATTTCCTAAAAACGAAGTTAGGATTGGACAGTATGGTGGGGTCGGGAAGAGTGAGCAATCAAGTAATAATTGTCGGGTTGAACAGTGAAAAAGAAAAGAAAAAGGTAATGAGAAACAAGAATAAATTAAAAGGTGAAAATATATATATAGAGAAGATTTAACATAGGAGGAGAGAAAGACGCAGGAAAGAATATCCAGATGGGCTAAGGAAAGGAGAGGAAAAGGTGAAGAAATAAAAATAGGCTTAGGTAAGGTAAAGATAGGAAGTACATGGAAGCTATGGAGAGAAATTGAAAAAGAAATAGGAGAAGAAAAAGAAACGACAAGCACAGAGGTTGGAAAAGAAAAGAGAGCAGTGGAGGGAGAAGAGAGATGCGTAGAAATCACAAGAGAGGAAAACTAAAGAGAGGCCAAGAAGAGGAGAAGAAAGAGAAAATAAAGAAGAGGAAAGGCATACAAAGAATAATATTATTTTGGAACGTTGCAGGATTAGGAAGTCAGGATGTAGAGTTTTGGAATTTTGTAAAGGATTACGACTACATAGGACTATGTAAAACATGGCTAACAGAAAAAGGTTAGGAGAATATAAAGAACAGACTACCAGACTCACACCAGTGGGTGAGCAGTCATGCAATGAAGAAAAAAGAGAAGGGTAGAGCGAGAGGAGGTCTAATCGTTGGAATAAGAAGAGATTGGAGAGGAAAGGATTGGGAAAAGATGAAAATAGGATATGATAATATAATACATATGAGAACAAAAGAGGTGAAGGAGAACCTGAATATCATACTAATGTATAACAATGGAAACAATGGTAAAGAGGTTGGAGAAATAATCATAAAGATAACGAAAGAATTTGAAAAGGAAAGATTAATTGTTTTAATTGTTGATTTAATTGTTGGAGGGGTGATTTTAATATTAGGATAGGAAATCTAGTAGGAGATAAAGAAGAAGGAGGACTGGAGAGAAAAAGTAAGGACAAAATGATAGGTAATGGAGGTAGGAAAATCATAGATAGTATGATAGAAAATGGTTTGAATGTACTAAATGGCAGGATTAATGGAGACTGGGATGGAGAGTTTACCTATGTAGGAGCAGGGGGTAGTACGGTAATTGATTACGTGTTTGTAAATGAACTTATAGTTGATAAGGTTACAGAATTCAAGGTTGAGGAGAGAGTGGACTCAGATCATATGCCGGTGTGTCTGAAGATGGAAGAAACGGAAGAGGAAGAAGAAAGAAGTGGCAGACAAAGACTGAAGTGGGAAAAGCAAGAGGAGCAAGTAATTAAAAAAAAGAGGATATGTTGGGATCCAGAAGCAATAGAGAGATATAAAGCCAAAACAGAGGACATTGGTTGGACCGAGGGGCAGGAAGAGATAAGCCTAGATAGGAAATGGAATAATTTAAAGAACTTAGTACAGGAAGCGATGACAAAAAAAGTTTATAAAATAAAAAAAAGGAAGATAGGACACAAGGATTGGTGGGACAAAAGCTGCACAAGAAGAAAAAGAGAGGTAAAGAAAACATATAGGAAATGGAGGAAGAGTTTAGTGAGGAGAGAGGTTTATATTGAGCAAAAGAAAAGTCTGAGACTACACTTAGACAAGAAAAGGAAGGAAAAAAGAGATGAAGAGGAAAAAACCCTGAAAAAGCTGAGAACGGAATCAGAAGTGTGGAACTTCATAAATAAAAAAAGAAAAAGAAGAGAATGGAAGGAAGCTAATATAAACTTAGAGGTATGGAGAAGGCACTTCATGAAACTACTAGGTGGAGAGGAGAAGAAGAGGGAAGAGGAAGAGACGGATGAGGTAGTGAGGGAAAATCGAGGAGAGGAAAAACAACCGGAAGAATTGGAGCAAAGAGAGGAACCAAGAGAAGAACCAATAGAAGAAGAAATAATAAAGGTGGTCAGAAAGGCAAAAATGAAGAAGGCTGCGGGAATCGACGGTATCCCCATGGAAGCATGGAGATACGGAGGAGAGGCGGTAAAGAAGGGTCTGACAGAGATGATAGAGGAGGTTTGGAAGAGAATGAAGATTCCAGAGGAATGGAGGAAGAGTATCGTGGTGCCAATATATAAAAGAGGTAATCAGGAACAGGCAGAGAATTATAGAAGAATATCGCTATTATGTACAGCTTATAAGATATATGCAGAAATAATAAGAGAGAAATTAGAAAAAGAAGTAGAAGAAAAAGACTTGCTGCCGGAAAGCCAAGCAGGCTTCAGAAAAGAAAAGTCTACTTTAGACAACATATATGTGTTGAATCACGTGGTCCAAAGGGAAAAGGAAAAGGAGAGAGGAGAAAGGAAGGTACATGCACTGTTCATAGACTTAAAGGCGGCGTTTGATAATGTGGACAGGAAAAAGCTGTGGAAAATACTGGAAAAGAAAGGAATAAGTGAGGGATTGATAAAGAGAATGAAGAATATTTATGCAGAAACAGAGGTAATGATCAGAACAGAGAAAAGTCTAATTAAGAGCTTCTTGGTTAACAAAGGTGTAAGGCAGGGATGTGTTCTGAGTCCCACCTTATTCAATCTATACGTAGCAGATTTGGAGGAGGAACTAAGAGAACAAGAACATAGGAGGTGTAACAATAGGGAATCATAGGATATGGTCCCTAGCGTATGCGGATGATATTGTTTTGTTGGCGAAGAATACAACAGCGCTTTAAGATATGATAGATACGATGAAGAGGTTCTTAAAGGCAAGAAGACTCGAATTATGTACGGAAAAAACGAAACTAATAGTTTTTAACAGCGCATGTACAAAGAACACAGATAGGATTAAGTGGAATGATAAAGTTATTGAAAAGATAAAGAGCTTTAAGTATCTCGGCTTTACATTTAATAGGAAGGAAAATCACGCGGATCACATAAAGGAAATAAGTAGAAAAGGTAGAATAGCGGCAAATAAAATCTGGGGTTTAAGAGAAAGAATTTGTAAAAATGATTTCCGGAGAAGATGGATGCTATTTAAATACTTAGTTGTAAGCGTGATGTCGTATGGGGTAGAATTATGGGGGTGGGAAGAGAAAAAGGAATTCGAAAAAATAATGTTGGATTATGTAAAGTGGGTTTTCAGGTTAGACTTCTGTACGCCGAGATACTTGTTACGAAGAGAGCTGGACTTAGGAAAACTAAAGATAAAGTGGGATACAATAGTTGGTAGATATGATATGAGAGTTAGCAATTTAGAAGAAAATTCTTTGGTAAAGAAGTGCTGGCGGGAGAAAAAAGATTTAAAAAGGAAAGATCTTTACAGCAAAGAGAAAGAAAGATATTATAACAGTAAAGGATGGAGTGTAGAAGCAATAGAGGAAAGCTACAAAGAAGGGAAGGATGTAGAAAATATGATGATAGAAAGGGAAAGAGACATACAAAAACAAATGGAAGAGAGAAAAATAAGAGAGGCAAGATATAACAAGAGATACAAAGAGTGGATCAAGGATATAGGTAAACCCAGATATCTCCAGAAAAAGTACGTAGACGATATAAAGATAGGTGATCAGGTTAGAGCTTTGATGAAAGTGAGATGTGGAAACATGGAGGAAAACAACAAATACTGGAGGGAGGAGGAGGAGAGAAGATGTGTATTCTGTGAAATAGGTAAAGATGAGTTAGAACACTATGTAGATGAGTGTATGTATGCAAAGGAATGGTTTATAAGTTTAGGCTCGGATAAAAAGGAGAGATTAGATAGGATATGGGATGAGGATTTAGAGAAGAATAAAGGAGAGATTCTGGAGAAATTATGGAAAGAAAAAGAGAAAAGAAAAAGGGAGTTGGAAAGAAGGAAATAAGAGTTAATGAGTTAAGATGACAGGGTTTTTAAGATTAAGAGTAAGAGCAATATAATACAATGATTAATAAATATTCTGTGATTTAGGTGTAGGTGTATATATACCCAGATTAGCTTAAGATAAGGATAAAAAGATTTAAAAAAATAGGATAAAGATAAAATAGAGAGAATTAATTAGCAGGGCAATAATGAGCCATGGCAGGATGTTGTGCCGTAGAAAAATTAAAAAATGTAATTGAGACGTTTCGACTTTATTTTTGAAGTCCTTATCAATCTAAAATTATTTTACAATCTTAAATTATTTTACAATCAATTATATAATACTGGATTAACAATTACAACATACCGTTAATTATAGAGTTGTCAAATTTGTCAGTATAACTCAACATTACAAAATTCAAAACACTTAAACAATTACAGAAAATAAAGAAATGATATATGTAAAAAAGCAGAAGAAGAGTTTGAATCTAATGAAAGACACAGAACTATTAAATGATGTATATTTACCGATCATTGATAAATGTGAATACTAACACACTCATAGATGGAGCGTTGTCACATGTCTGATTCAAACTCCTCAGTCTGTTACAAAATATACGACAAACATGATTCATTTATTTTCTGTAATTGTTTAAGTGTTTTGAATTTTGTAATGTTGAGTTATACTGACAAATTTGACAACTCTATAATTAACGGTATGTTGTAATTGTTAATCTAGTATTATATAATTGATTGTAAAATAATTTAAGATTGCAAAATAATTTTAGATTGATAAGGACTTCAAAAATAATGTCGAAACGTCTCACTTACATTTTTTAATTTTTCTACGGCACAACATCCTGCCATGGCTCATTATTGCCCTGCTAATTAATTCTATTTATTGGAGTTACCAAAAGGAGCCGGAGGTCACACCTCATTTATCACTTACAAAATAGAAAATTTAATTTGATTTGAGTTGAGTTAATTTAAGGGAATTGTAAAGGTAAGTGTAAATAAGCGAGAAGTAAGTGGTATGGAAGGCATGGAAGGATGTGTGAGATTAGACTTATTGTAACCAAGTCCCCTTCTTGGCCATATAGGCTGAAGTGTCTAAATAAATACGTATTTATATGAAACACTTTGCACGCCTAAAGTCCGATCATTGCTCTCCGCGCACTTATTGGCTCACATTTATTAATTCATACCTCAATAACTATTGTGAATTTTGCAAAATCGTAAATAATTTTTTTGTTCAGATTGATCCGATCTTTGATACCAACACACTTTGGCTTATTCGTTCGTTGTCAGACATTCTGTACATGTATATACAGGGTGTCTCGTAATTGCCGTACAATCTCTCGTAGGCAGGTAGAGAGGATCATATTGAATCAAAAAGTTCTTTGCAAGATTTGCAATAATTACCGAGATCTTAATTAATAACTATCTGCGAATAAGCGTGCATCGGGTTGTCTTACGCGCGTAAGACAGCCCGGCGTGCTTCGTGCGCTCACGGTGTTACCCGTAGCAACGTATGGGAGGAGCTAATATAACAGCATATACTATAACATATACATAATAAAAGATAACCGTGCGAAACACGCCGGGCTGTCTTATGCGCATAAGACAGTCCGATGCACACTTATTCACAGATCTTTATTAATTAAGATCTCGAATTATTGCAAATCTCACAAAGTGATAAAGGACTTTTTGACTCAATATAACCCTCTCTATTTGTCCACAAGAGATTGTACGACAATTACGAAACACTTTGTATATGTACAGTGCGGAGCACCATATCGTACGCCGTGAGGAGAAGTAATTCTCCTCCGGCTGCCTCCTACTACCACGCGCAAGCGGCCCGAGATTTGATCCATATATCGGCACGGTTACCGATGATACATACCGACGCGGTTACCAATAATACCGACAGGCATATGTTATCATAAAACTATCGTGAACATTGAAAAGAGTAATTCTGCATTGAAAGTGACTTCAATAATTTATATCAAATATTTATTTATTTAATTATTACGTGATATA